CTTCTGTTTATTCTCCGCTGTGGACGCTCTGGCTCTTTTTCTCCCTCCCCGAGGCAAGCGTGTGCTCCCGCTGTAAATCCTCTCCGGTAGTCCACCAGCAGATGACAAACACCCACCTCTCCGCCTCTTCCAAGGGACGAGGGGACCGTGCGTCAGAGTTTCAGTTAGATTTGTTTTCGCCGGTCAACATGTCCGTTAAAGTTTAAATCTACTGGACAAAATTAGAAAAGTGCCGGTCAAAGGTCTTCTTTGTTATTAATTGAGCTTTAAAACAAATTGATAACGACTCTATATAATAATATAATAATAAAAAACAGAGCCTCTCTTTTCCTCCCCCTCTTCTGACAGCCCAGCAGCTGATCTCTGAGCAGGAGAGGTGGGGAGAGGCGGGGCTATTGCTTCAACGTTATCAGGAAATGATCGTATAGGCGTAAACACGGAGCCGTTTGCCCCCCCAGAGCGTTTTGTTTGCAGATCTACCCACCTTGGAGCCCGTTATCGTTATCGTTATCGTTTTCTGCGTTTCCATGTCGGCCTCGTGTGGCCGAACCGTCTATCTGATAGTGAACTGTAGCGGATACGACCGTTATCGTCCTCGTGTGGCCGGGGCCTCAGTCAATCATCATGGCGGATGTAAAGGGTGTTACAATTACAATCTATATCCTTTCAAAATAAATGCATGCAACAGGAAGTAAAACCAGTTAAAATCACACAATGTATCACTTAAAAAATAAAAGCGCACAAAATCAAATTAAAGAGCAGAAAACAAACCTAAAAAACATGCAATGTAAACTCATACTGCCTGTGCTGCAGCACCTCTTTTCACCCTCTGTCTGAAACCAGAGGCCAGTCTGCTCTGATTGGTTAGCTGGCCGGCTCTGTTGTGATTGGTCAACCGCTTACGGATGTACCACCCCTTAGCCTATCATGTACAAAGTGTTCTAGCACTAGCCAATAGAAACACAAGTGTTACGTAGTGATGTCATTATGTTACAGAAGTAAACAAAGGAGTCCAATGAAGGCGTTTCAGGCAGGGCGGGAGTGAAGGGATTTAGGATTTAAGCCTTTGAAGACCATTTACATGCACAAAAACCTATATAACACACTACAGGAAAGGGTAAAACCCCCGAAAAGCATAATAGGGCCCCTTTAAAGTTATTATTATGTGCAAGCTAGTCCAGTTCTTCCACATCAAAAGGGCCTCCCAAACTATTGAAACAGTGCATAAAAACCTTTAAATAAAACTATATACAGTAGCATTACGATTTCCCTTCATTGGAACCAAGAGGATTTAACCATTTAAAACAAGAGCACCACAAGTACAGTGTCCTCATACGTTTGGAGTTAAAGGGGAAAACCAACCCTTTGCAGCTGCTGTCCGTCTACACTTCATCCCCTCTCAGACCAAACAACAGCGACCAGCAGGCTCCACTCCCTGCAGCTGACATTGTCTTAAGGTGGCAGGTTGCTTCACAGCTTAGTTAATGAAAGCGACAATTCTGGCCTCCCGCTAAGGCTTCCACTGAGTGAGGCGTGCTGAAGATGCAATACATGACAGAAAACAGCTGCTAGTCCTGGACGGGTTTAGAGAAGAGGATGGAGCAACCTATTCTAAGGTTGTCTAATGCAGGATTACACACAGATGATCTGTTGTGAGCTCATGCATAAACACTCAAATGATCATATTGGTTAAAATGGCTCCAGATTTAGACGTTTTGTTTTGAATGGTTATGGCAAAATGTTCCAGTAAAACCGATCAAAACATTTTGAAATGTTTAGAAGAAGGCTGTTTTTATGCGGAGGTTCAGGGAGGAGCTGCATCCCTCATGATAATCAGCAGCTTTCACAGTCTTAAATTGATCTCTCTGAAAGCAGGGAAAATACAGTGAGTCTGTCTGCAGCTAATCCTGCGCACTGTAAACATGTTCCAGGTTTTATCCTCCATAATCTTACAGTAAGAGTTTTAACACAACAGGAATCCTAGAGTCTTAAACAGTCTTAATTGTATCCTCAAGAAAAAAGAGGCACGCAACATGATTTCGTGTTAACTGCTTTACACTGTGCTGCTAAAGGTTTACTGACAGAGACACACAGATTTCTAAATCAGAGAGGGAGAACAGGAAGTGGAAGTTGTAGACAGATATGTTTCCCTCAGACCCAACACAGAGATAACAGGAGGCTGGTTATCAGTGGGAAGTCCAGGTTCAGACATTCCCACAATGCAACATCTGTCAACATGGATCCCGTGTGGGAGGTAGCCACAATAATGGAAACGGCTCAGGGTGAAAGGACCAGTTACTAAAAAGTCTATAAAAGTTGTTTTTTAAGTTGATTTGAAATAAACGGTATTATTAGAGTTTCCATAACAACAGGAGACAAGAACTCAACAAGGTCAAAACATCTAAATATACCGATTGCAGATGCAATGCTAAAAATATTGTGAAACATTCAGAGTTTGCCCACAGGCACATTTTAAAGTATGTATACAACTTTGCTTCGGGTTTGAAACCTGAATCCCTCCTTCTATCCTACTGCATTGTAGGCCTAAAGATAATAATGCTTGCTTTACTCATGCTTAAAACTCAGATGAAAAAAGTAAATGTTGCATGTCAGTCTCTCATTTAAGTGTTATATTTTTTGTGTAATTTTTATGAATGTTCTTTATTTCAATCTGACAAACCGTTATCTCTGGAAAAGTGCATTTTACAGAACAGTAACATTTCGTTCACACTTTTCGAAACCTTGTCTCCTAGAAACAACCTTTATATGAAACTAAGTTGCTGGACAAAACATGATTTGAAGCAAATGTAATGCCAGTCTGAATTTAACATAGTTAGGAAATATCGTGAAATAAAGTATCTAGTTGTTGATGCTAAAAGTAACAGTAGCATATGGTAATACAAAATCAGATTGTACAGCATTATTAAACCAATATGGTTCTGTTTAGGCACTGGCGGCATTTTTTTAGTTTGCCTTACAAGTTTGATCCTGATGAACAGAATTAGTCTTTCTAGTTAGACATTTTCAAGGGTGTCTAGGTATAAATAACCTTTCTTCTTTAGCCACGGATGTTTGTTTTCTTACAGTTTCATGCTAGCTTAATGGAGTCATCATATTGACCCCCACTTGTTCGCTGTTAATGCCTTAGACAATGAACAGCTCTATTCACACATGGGATTAATTGGACATTACACAGATGTAGTACAAGAGAACTGCAGAGTAAAGTCTGTTTCATGTCTGGTTTACCCTAACCCTAATTCTTAACATTGACTGACCCTACGATCTTACCCTAACCCTAACCAAAGTTCCTCTGATGCCAAACACCTAAACACACATGAGATTCAAGAAGCACATCAGACACAATGTTTCATTCAGTCAAATAAAAACTGCCTTTGATCTTGATCCAACCAACGATTACATTTGTCTGCACAACAAAATTGGCAGAGCATCTCACTGTAGTAATATAAATGTCATTGCAGGCGACAGGGTTGTACCAGGATATAACTCAACTGGCGCAATACTGAACATTCAATCTCCTTTTATTGCATAGAAACAGTCAAATTAAAAAACATTGAAACCCCATCTCCTATAAATTACATTTACATGCTTTCGATTTGTATAGCAAAAGAACATGTAATTGCTACCTAGGTTATGTTCTGTGGCAGTGTTTTGTTTGAGTGCAGGAAGTCAAACATGTATTCACTGCGCAGAGCTTGTGGTGAGTTGGCCGGGTTGGATGTGGACAAAGAGTTTGACAGCAGAACGTGGGGCTGACATCTTGAGTCCTAAATGTGGTTAAATAATTGTTGGTAACACATCAATAGTAGTAAATATTTCAGTCTATTGCTTTGGACTTTTTCTGTATGAAAAACGAAAGACCGTGATCCTTCCCCAAACTTTAACCAAGTGCTGTGAGTGAACATCTCTATCAGCTTGTGTTTAACACAGACCTGCATTTAGGCCTCTAACCAAAAACAGGTTGAAAAAACCATTGACTTTGAGACGAGGGAACGAGGTCAAATCCTTAGTCATTTGTGTTTTAGGACTCATTCCTGTCTTTAGGCTACTTTTACCGCGTGTGATTGGTTATATTCAGAGAGAGACTCCATTCATTTATTTTAAACATGAATAAAATGTTGTTTAGACCCTCATCATGTCACTGTGATGTCACCAGATCATCCTGGACTTAGGAAACACAAATGTATAACTGAGATATAAACTGGAAGCATGATGTCTGGAAGCATTTCTCCTTGTCATGGAGGGTCTAGTGACATTTAATTTACAGTTATAGGATCTAATGGGAGTTTGACTCCTTGGAGGACAAGAAAATGTAGGATATGTTGCATCAATTATGAGCATCTTCTATCATCCTGTCTCTTGTGACAAGTACTGAAAACTATTTCGTCCAACACTAAGAGTTCATGGTTCGAACCATGACGAGACATATTTCCATCAGCAGCTCACTTTCTTTCCCACACCTCGGCTGCACCTGCATCACAATTGATAAAACAGGTTGTCACAGCGGACCGAAGAACAGTATGTTCATGACCTTCTCCTGGAGATGTCCCATTGTGTTCAAAAACACACAGTCTGAACATTATGAGGAGGTCTTAGTGACATGTTGTTGAAAGGTGGGGAAGTCACCAAAGAGACAGAAGGATGGAGAGAGATAGGAACGTGAGGAATCGAAGAAGACATCAGGAGAGGCAGGAGAAGATTGGGAGTTTTTCTGGCAGAGATCCCTGCAGCGCTGCACATTCTCACAAGATTAATTGAAGCTGTTTCTGTTTTTGTTTTTTCAGGCTGTGAATTACTGGTAGATTATAGAGAAACAGCTGTTTCACCCACTTCCCCGGACTTCGCCTGTGTGATTATGCATCGAGTGACAACCAAGACAAACACTCACTCTGCGCTGCCTTCACGCCTCCTTCGTGTTCATCCCGTTTCACAAACTGTCACTCATTTGCATTGCGATTAATAAAACAAATCAGACACGATCATTACAACGACAAAGAAATATTTATTAAATCCTTTTTTTAGTTGTTTGTTTTAGTTAGTCATAGCTGCTCCAACACGTGTATTTACAAAGAAATGGCATTTTTGTAGAAAATTCTAGTGAGGGATTGAGCAGGAAAAAAGACATTAGAATAGTTTGCAAGAGTACAGGAGAGGGTGGGGGGGGGGGGTCATATAGGCACAAGTTACACTTACTACAATGTCAAAGAAATATGCATTTTTGTGGCACAACCATGACAGGTTTGGAAAAAGAAACACAGTTGTGGCTGATAAAAACAAATGTAATAAAATGACAAAATGTAAAAAAATGATCACATCTTTATTCCCCGCTTTGTAAAAACAATATTACATATCACACTGGTTTGCAATGTGTACTTTCAGAGCAATGGCTGTTCAAATGGGGATGTCTGGCTTCGGACAAATGGGCTTTTGGTCCAATGGGACATTTATCTGACTATTGGGGTTTTGGAATAATGGGCAAACCCCCCACAATGCAGTGCAGAAGTTAAAAGCAAGGTCTTCTAAAAAATCTCTTGAAATAACCCTTGCAATATGTAATCACTTATTACAAAATGCGGGGAAGTTACAAAATGATGTGAACATTTATTACATTTTGTCAAATTATTAAACAATGTGTGCTTCCTTGGCTAACGTCAAATACACTTTCCAATGCTAAATGCATAACAAATGCACACTTTCGGTTTTTAATCCAAAGTCCTGCGACAAGGCGATTTAAACTGCTGCTTAGCTCGGACACAGCTGGAGGCGAAAGTTAGCAAAAGACCACAAGAAGACAAAGGAAATCTTGCACTTTAAAGACACTTTTGATGCAACAATACATTGAACAAGTGTGTTTTGGAGGGAAAAGAGATATCTTTGTTCTTGGATATCCATCTGTTCCTTCTTCAGACCCTTTAAACCATGATCATAACGCAACCAAACTGCATGATATGTGCCGTGTTCGCCCTAACGCATTTACAGAGGGGGAGGGGGTGCAATGTTAATCCTGTTTTTTTTTGTTTCATAAAAAAGACATATAAAATGAAACGAAGCATTTCCTTATATCAAACATTGATTTTTTTTTGTTTTGCTAAGAACATTAATGTGCCCTTCAAAAGAGGTGTGAAAAAGAGAAAGTATCTAACATTGTATGTTACAACAGACTAATTGTTGGATACACAGTATCCACAAAACTAACTGATTGGTTTTTCTCATCGTGGCCCGAGGCAATGATTACAGTTACAGTGGACTTTGAATGTTGGACTTAAAACATGGAGACTGGTAGGTGTGAGGAGATTTCTAATAATGTGGTAATGTGCACCCAGATTTGCTCCCAAACCTGAGTAATTCCTACCCTCAAAATACTTCATTTATTTCTTAAACTACTAATTCCTCCAAACCGTAAACTTATGAGCCAAAATGTCTTCAAACTGAAAGAACTGTTTTCAGTCCAACCCGCTACTTCAAGCTCAGAATTTATGACATTTAATTTGGGATAAGTCTATAGAGTGGTGCAGTAATGAGTCCAGTGGTTTTTTAAATGCAGTTGTGGAGCCTGAAATAAGGTCTGTGGTTAACACAAGCTTACAAACATGTGTATGCCACAAAGCTTATTCTCTGCAATATATCAAAATCCAATGGGATTTCGATATATTGCAGAAAATAAGCTTTTTTTTAGAGCCCAGGTCAACTTCCAGGTCGGCCTATAAAAACCCGTCATCACTGCACCACTCTATGTTCTTTATGTTTTCATATATGAAACAGAATAGATAGGCAATGAAAGTATCTGAGCTTTTTTTATAGAAAGTCATATCTCTGCCTCTATATAAATAACATTATTATAATTGGTCTCAAAATGATAACTATTTATTTTTGTATCAATACTTTTTCTAGTATATTTCTTTTTTTATGATATGACTTTGGTGAAATTATCCATTTATTCTCATTATGTCACAACCTAATACTCAATTGCACCGTATTAATGAGCAAGAACGGCAGGTATTTAAAAAAAACGACATGGGAGCAGGGTAGGTTTCACCTGGCAGTTATTATAATTAAATGTGAAGAGGAGAAAAGCTGGTTGGGCAAGCTTTCCATATCCTCATATTGTCATTATCAGAGATTGCAGATATTGGATCTGATGGCCTCAGGCGACAGATTGGGCGAGGGGAACGTTCTCTTTGATCAATTTAAAAGCTCACTTTCATTAATCCAACAACGTGATAATAAAATACTACCAGGTTTGTAATGACTGCTGGATAAGGTATAGGATTACGAGCTGTGATCAAATGTCACAACTTCAACAGAAATGCGTGTAATTGAAAACAATTATATTGTGAGTTCAGCTAACACAGTATACGTGATCATGTGCGATCACTTCCATCGGTCTCTCCAATTACAAAAACGAAAAAGTAGCTTATGTATACGCGTTCAGACAAAGTACCGTAACAAATGAAATGCGTTAGGTCATCTGTCCATAAGATTACGGGCATTTATATACATTCACAAGTGAATTTGACGCTTCAGAGGCGCGAGCCGGTCCGGAGTAAAAGGCCCATCGCTGAAAGGATAAAGGCGGGGTCACGCATGGCTCACGGACCCTGGTGTGCAGAGCAAAGCTTTGGTGAGCAGGCATATGGAGAAATGCAGATGTGGGGGTTTGTAAGATTGCGCAGCGTACTTGTCGGGATGATTGAAAAAGGATCACGAACGGGTTGCTTTAAATTAAGGAGCAGAGTGACACGTAATAATTAAAGGTGATCATCACTGTGTGAGACATTGAAAATTCCCTTTAAATTCAGATTTAATTTTTACAATTTAGTCCTTAAATTGACGGGGCTAAAAGCAATTCGCGACCGTTTCTTTACCAGCCATAATCAGTACCAGATTTCTGTGAAATATAAGTTAACCGCATGTTCCTGATTGAAAATCAAGACTATTGATCTCAGCATTAGCACTTCAACTCTTCACATGTTGCTCTTTTCCCCTCGGATCCACTTGCGCTGAATATCGGGACACATGCTGTGTGTATTCCATCTCTGCCAGTGGTTTTCCTTTTCTTCATTCTAAAAAAAGTATTTTACGATGGTTCCCCTGGTGTGTTTTCTTTCAGCTGCACTTCACGTAACATCAAAGAGGGCAAGTGAATCACTGCCCCCCCCACTACTACCACCACCTGCTCTGTAACTCGCTCACTCTAACATCTTTCGCCTTAGAAAACTTGTGCTGCTTGAGTCGAGGGAGAGTAACCCTCCTGATTAGAAAAAACGTGTATTTTTATTTTAACCTCATATTAGTCATGGACACATCCCTGAACTTGGTAGGAAACTTGTCTCTATATACAATAGTCGTGTTATGACAGTGATTCACAAAAGCAATAGTGTAATAGTAAAACTACGTTGGTGACATTTTTAATGACAATCGAAACACAAATATTCAACGATTTTTTTTTCTTTTTTTTTCGACACCCTGATAGCACATCAGACTTTTTTTTTCCTTCCTGGACTTTGTTAAAAAATTAGCGATCAATTCCAACAGATACATAAACTGAAGTGATTGTATCAAAAAAGCTGTGTAATATGAACTAACTTAATGGGTAACTGTATTGCCTTTCTACTGTACTTACAGACTAAAACCAGAGCAGAAGAAAGAAACACGAGGACTTCACAATAAATAGGAAAATACATTTTGCCTGGCAAAAAAACCATAACCACTTCTTCGCTCCGTTCAAATATTTTACTGTACACCCATGTTGGCTGCTACAATTGAATTAGGTGACATATTAAAATCAAAACACATTAATCGGTCATTAAATCGGCCCTATCCCAACACTAAAAGATGAGTGCTGCTTTAAATGTTCTAATTCTCAACAAGGGTCAGCTTTTAAATAGGGAGGGTTGAGTCATCAAAGTCCCGCCCTGCGCCCTTGGTGACCGTCTCCTAGCAACAACATCGTTCTCTTTTTTTTCCGTTAGCATGGTGGTGATGCGTTACTTCCAGGTCTTCCTCGAAAACATCTTCCATTTTGACGTGAGATATAATCATGATACATGTCGGGGGGTTATGTGATGTTTTCCTGAACACAAAAAAAGGTCTGTAAACTTTTTAAGGATCCCACTGTGCTTCATTGCCATTCAAGCTGTGTACTGATTGTGTAGTGTGTGTGTGTGTGTGTGTGTGTGTGTGTGTGTGTGTGTGTGTGTGTGTGTGTGTGTGTGTGGGTTTGAGATCATATGTGTGCTTGTCTTTAATATCTGTATACTGTGAGTAGTAGCAAGGCGAAAGGGTACGCATCTTTCACCTCAGGGTGCCTTGACCATCAGCACGCAGCAGAAAGTCATGAATCACTCTGGTTGGCAAGTCAAAAAACATCGAAGGCTTCAACATGGAAGTCCCTTCCTCTCTCTTTTCACATAGAGAGATTGTCAGTTTTCTTTTTTGTTTAAAAAAGTGCTCCTTTGAGGGGAGGGGTTGCAGGGTAAGGGCGGCCTGTGGTCCAATCAGGACAGTCCATTCCTGGCGGATTCCTCAGCCTGGGCGCTATAAAGACAAGATGGCCGCCAGCAGAATGAGGGCGGCGCTGAGCAGGAGGACTGAAGTCTGGCGTCGGCCCGCAGAGTTCACATCCCGTCGAGCCGCCTCTGGAGACTCGTGGCCGATGCCGTCTGAGGGGAACGGACGACAATGAATATAAATAGTTAGCTTAGCACGAAACACTTCCTTTGATCAACATCCTCTTATACATGTGCGGAATAAGTATTTGCAAAAAAAATGTCTTAGCTGAGTAATGTTGTTGCTGTTTCAAAAAACATATATAGATGATACCTACTAGATGAAAATAGATTAAATCTATTAAAATCTATTAAGTAAATACTTGCGTTAATGAATGATCGCAATATTTTTGAGTTTTTTTAAAATATATTATATATATATTATTATATTACAATAAGGTTAGTCAGGTTTTTTTTAGGGTCTAAACTGAATCCTCAACTTTTTGTACAACAATAACTAATCAAATACACACACACACACACACACACACACACACACACACACACACACACACACACACACACACACACACACACACACACACACACACACACACACACACACACACACACACACACACACACACAGTACTATATATTGTACACCAACCTCTGGGTTCTAGGGAGTTGTGACTGTTGTCGTCAAAGTCGACCCCTTCCTGAACGGTCCCGGGTTCTTTCACACAATTGTCTTTGGAAAACAAAGAGGAGAGAGGAAAGATTAGAGAAGTCCAAACGTCACTAGTCTAATGCCTGATCACAAGCTGGTGGAGGACCGAAAGGCAGAGAAGACTCAACAGTCTGAGACTCACTCTGAGGCCGGACGAAGACTTTGAGGCGAAGGCAGCTCCGTCTTCCTTTCTCGTCAGTGATGGAGGCTGTGGAGACATTAGACAGTCAGAAACAAACAACTCTGAACACGTGACTTTAACATTTCAAACTTCCTTGATCTCATCTAGGGTTTTGTGTTTATGGTTTGAATGGCAGTTTTATACAAAACACACATCATTGAGAAAACAGCTTTAGTGTACAAACCTTTAAATGAAACTACAGCAGCATTGCACCCTCTTTAGTAAATGTACATCACACTAGGGCTGCTCGATTATGGCAAAAATCATAATCTCGATTATTTGGGTCAATAATTGATATCACGATTATTAAAAAACGATTATCCATTTACTTTGAAAACATCAATTTATTGGAGAATTTTTTAGTTGATTACCCTAAACTTTAAGTATAATTCAACTGAAAAACCAATAAAAATACAATTTCATTTGAAAAAATAAAAATAAAAGTAATAATAATAATAAAAAATAATCGTTTTATTTCGATTACGTTGTTTTCGTAACCGTTGCAAGCCATAATCATAATTGCGATTAAAATACGATTAATTGAGCAGCCCTACATCACACTACATTACATTTCATTTAGCTGATCCAAAGCATTCAACCATGATAAAACCATGTCAAAAAAGCAAGAAGGTACATTAGCTATCAATAAACCAAAGCCTTGTAAATGCTCCTGCATTAGCATTAAAAAAGCTTCAGTAGTACATTCAGAATGTTTAATTAGCAGGTGCAAAGGGCTACTTTATTTTTAGATTTTACCATTCAAGACTTCAGCTAGTTTGTTCAATAAAAAAAGGGTCTTGTGAAAAATGTGTTTATATTTGTCGTAAGGGGAAAAAAAGTGTATTGGTATAAATACCGAAACTCAGAATTGACACCAATGGGGGCTGACCAAGCCATATAAGCCAAATCCATATAAAAGACAACCAACAAACTATATTTTGTACATTTCACCTCAAACTAACCTTTTGTGGCCCTTCATTTGCCTAATTTGACAACTCTTCTTTCCATTTAACCACAGTATTTTCATGGCATGGAATGTCTTGACTCAACCCAATCTTTTTGGTTTTCTGTTAGCAACAGTTGTGGATGATACCTGGCACCAAGCGAACTAATCAAATGACAAAGGCGAACTGATTGTCTAGTCTGATTGCAGCCTACGTTTTGTGGTCCACCTGCAAAGCCATTCAATATTCTCCATTTACATTCCATTCACAACTTCACCTGAGACCTCTTCACTCTAACACCTACCGTCCTAGAAACGAACAATCAGACAAGGTCAATTGTTTCACTCGAGCTATTCCACAAATATCTCCTTTAAATACAGTCTGAAGAGCCTTATATCACCTCCTGAATCCCCCTCTCATCCTGTCTTTCGGCTCCATATTTTACTCTATCAAACATCTCAATGTCACCCTCATATTCCCAAGTGTAATTTGACCAGGGGCGGTTACTTCTGCAGGTGAGTGGCATGCTGTTATGCCCACCTGCAAAATCTAATTTCCTCTGTTTCCTGCAATGATTAAAACATTTTTGTGCTGTGATTGTTTTGCAGAGCTAACAAAACTAATTAGTTTTCAACCAGTGCAGGGGGCCGAGTCGCCAACGGAGCGCTGAGGGTGTCTCCAGCTGTGACGAATGACTTCAACTTCTGTCTGAACATTTTTACGTTATGTCTGACCTTATGTTCATCCCAATATAGATTTTTCCTCTTTTCTTTTTCAGACTTTTCCTCTTGGGCCTCAGCACTCCTGACCCCTGTCATTTCCTGCTGCCTGCCGAGTCTCTCAAACTGCTCTTAATCTTGCCACAAACACAACCTGGAGAGTGTTCCTGACTGTGTGTTTTGGCGCATGCATGTATTGTAGTTGTGGTTGCATTTGAACAAAGACTAGCTGTAGTTTGTCCACAGACACCCATCTATCCCTCCTCCGTGTGATGGATTCTTTCCGTGCGGTGAATCCTGATAAAAGTAAACCATCAGAGTTTCCACTGTCGCCCATGACTCTCATGGCTCTTATTTCAAAAGCCACTTTATCAGATGCCGTGCGGCCGCTGGAAGAGATAAAAATCATCTTTAAGACTTCACCATGAGAGCGGGATTGGAAGTGAAGCAGCAGAGGGAGGAAATAAACGAGAGAATCGGTGTCAATCTCGCTGCTTCTGTCTGTGTCAGCGGGTATCCAGTAACTTACCTCACACTCACTGTCTCCGTTTCTGTGTCTGAACTCCACTGGCCAGAAGCCCCGTCTTTGTCTCCCTCTACGCCTCTCATGCTCCTTCTCTTTCCACGACTGTTGTTATCTCCTTCTGACTTACTTTAACTGCTGTATAAAGTCTACTCTTGCACAAAGAAACTATTGTCCCAGGCTCTTATCCAAGACGTTTCATTTATTTATAAGTGGATTATTATGGTTTCAACTAACAATGATTATGGCTGTCAAATAATCTCTTAATCAATTATAGATTAAAGGATTGATCAATTACTCCATTAAATGTAAACAAAAAAGCAGTGGCATGTGCTGGGGATTGGTCCCCTAGCGAAGGGCAAGGGGTTCGAATCCTGCATGTCACTTAAATAAAGGCACTGGTTGCCCAAAAAAGCATTTAAAGTAAAGTAAAAAAAAGTCAAATATGTCCATCAAAAGTTCAAGTAAACGTCTTCTAATTGCCTTCTTCGTTTGACTGATGGTTTATAAACCAAACTCAATACCTTTACAATGATATCAAATAGAAATGTATCAATTTTTAACATTTCAGAAAGTTTAACGAGTAAAATCTTTTCTTTTGATTGAAAAATGACTTTTCTTGAGGGGTTCATCTTTTGGTGACACATTTAGTTTTGATAGATATTTCTATAGGCCTGTAGCCAACAGCCTGAGAACGTTTGTGTTGTTTTTAAATCACAGTAATTAAATCAGTGAGCAGGATATATTAAGGTCCCTATAGCAACCATAGATGTATCCCGCTACAACCCAGACCTAAAACAGACTGACTGTATGTGTTAACTTAAATGTCAACATATTGAAATCAAAGTTAACAGCCGCTGTGACAAACTGTTCCAATTATGTCTATGAATAGCTTATTGCTCTAACACCTAAATACAAGCAGAGGTTTGTGTGTTAAGTCCTGCTATGCACCATTAAGTTATCATTGACAGAAACACAGTATTGTATGTCATGATTCAAGACTTCGCTCTCGGTGCAACAGGTACATTTTCTGGCCAATCAGCATGGGACAGGAAGTAAGATTTAGACCCCAGTAGCCTTTGCAGAGTATTTTCTGCGCACAGAGACGTAACGTATTATGACATACAGTAACAGTAGCTGCAGTTGTTTTTTGTAGATGTTAGAAAGGCCAAAAACAATTTCAATAAAAACGCAGCTGCTCTTGTTTTCCTTTGGAAAGCGACCATGGTATAAGCAGGATAATGCACCCTGGGGTGTCAGATATCGGTACATATCTTATGGACATATTGTTATTGCTTTGATCTAGCTTTTCTTAATGTGAAGACTGACAGTAGCACATGTGTTCAACCCTTTTGTGCAAGGAACTTTGGAATTTATTTTCCTGGAAAAGATTGTCAAACTGTTTAGCTGAGTTTTTTTTGGTTTTTATCAAAGTATATTCAGTATTGAGATACATGGCACTACTACTATTATATTTTCTTTTTAAGGACAAATGGCTACATCCCAGAAACTAAAAGGAGTACATTTAAATATTTGGTTGTCGAAGCTTTTGGAAGTTAAATATCTAAGATATGCACACATATGCAAAGTAAATGTATATGGTAACACATTTAATAAATTAAATAGAAAATAAATAATTTGTATAATTTGTTTACACATTTTCTTAACATTTTTCTAGAGTTTCGACTGGAAAGTCAGATTTCTATTTTTCTATTTCTCACCCTTTTAATCTTTTTCTGGCTTTGTGTCACACTGTCTTTTTCCCTTATCTCACTTTCTCACCCCCCCTGTACCACCATCCCTTCCTAAATGCAGACACACAATTACCCAACTGTCTCTCTTCCTTTCTCTCATGTCTGCCGCTGAGGTCAGAGTCTGGCTTTTCTATCCTCGAGCAACACAGCCGTGCTTCACCGGGGACTGTAACCCCATCTCCGCCTGCAACTCTAAACCCGGGTCATCCCGCCGCCCCGCGTCGCCCTGACAACGGTAAAACTCCCGGTCACACGCTCAGACACATGTTGCACGTTCGGTCATGTGCTGCATGACTCGTGATATTCGCACGTTCGGTACTGGCAGTACATGATCACAGAGAGCGGCTGGCGTGCCTGAGTAAGGCCTGGCTTTGGTGTGACTGTGAGCTGAATTAGACAGATCCTGAATTAAATTCTGTCGGATCAGATGTTTTTCTTCTGATGATCGGTTTATCTTAGAGAACAAAGCCCTTTGTGTCCGCTTCAGCCGCGAGAAGCTGAAGGGAAAGTGGCCGGGGAGCAGTGCTGGCGGGGTTCATGTCATTATCGATGTAGATCTGCACTGGCTGTACGGAGCGGAGCCGAGCGTTTGAAGCACGAGGGCTTTACAGGGAGACAGTCCTCTCTCTCACACAGGGAGAGCCAGACTCTCAACTGTCTCCTCTGAAAATTGGATTTCTATCCCCTGAGATTAGGATCAGGCTTTCCCCGCTCCACTGAGGCTCTATTAGAAAAACATGCCGCCCTCTGAGGGCCACGAGAAGCTCGCAGCGGAGACCTCGCCGTCATCCTGGTGACCTTTCACCTCCTAGGACCAGCCGCAGGACTGATCCCACACCGGGGTGGCTTTCCTCCGGGTGTTTGTCTGTCTGCCGAGGCCCTCAGCCAACTGCAGGTGTCATCTATTTGACGTGGCCCCCCCTCGCTCCTCTCTTTCCCTCCCTGCCTGCGGCGGACCATGATCACCATAGAGGACAAAGGAGTGTCTGTCTTCACTGACACAAGCACACATGAAACCCCCTCCAATGTGTCATTTACATGCCCACTTAACAGATTCCAAAACCATACGATACAACTCTGCTATTGTCGGGCTTTGTTAGTGGAGGAGACAGTGGACGTGTGATTTGACACTTTACTGTAACACAACCAGCATTTCTGGATGTGTATGATGCTGCCGGGAATACATGGATGGAAAAGAAACCAAATGGAAAATTAGTTTTTCATGTGTGACCAAAATAAAATTCAAAGCTCAAAGAAAGACTCATTGGGAAAGTATTTGAGCGATTACATGATACACTGTAAGCAATCAAAAAATCAAGAAAGAAGAAAAAAAAAAAACGATGTTGCTGTCAAGGTTTTTCTAAATGATTTTTAAATGAATGCTTTCTGTCTGACCCAGGGCCTTTGCTAACCTTAACCGGCTTGTGAGAGTTTTGCAAACAAAGGGATATATTTTAGACACGAGCATGGCACTCTGACTAGCCGATATACTTATATAGCCTTATTGTATTTATTTATTGAGTTATTTATTTAAATGAGTTGTACTCATGACAATGGAGACAAAACAATTCACAACATGTTTACCTGTCTGTCAAATACATATGGTCTGTCAATCACAGGTGCTTAGCATCCAATGCTTACAGTAACATGAAAACTAAATAATGTAACGCTAGAAAATCGGATTACCTGACATCGTCATATTGTCTTATTATTTTTCGTTATACATTTTCTTGAATCTAAAGATATTCATACAGCTCTTTACTTTTTTCTATATAACATTACACAGTGTAACTCTTACTACTACTAGACATACACATCTGCTTTAAAGTAGTAGTGTATTTACCTAATGTCTGCCACATAAATCAACAGTTTAACCCAGATGGATCAAGTGTTTCTACGTGGATCAAAAGGATACTTTCAAATGGGAATTCATTGGTATACCTAATTCTGGAAGCTTCTATTCGTTCCAACTTCAAAACGATGTAGAATCTGAATACAAACATGGGCATTATGTGAATTGTTGTAACCATAAGGCCTTCATATCTCTCCGGAGGTTTCTTTGTCTTTTGTTATATGGCTTTCTATTCTCAGATCCCCTGTTCTCAGAGGGAACATTAGTGTCTTCAGTGAACAAGGATCTGATGGATGAGTCATGATGTGAGTCAGCGAGAGATGGTCCATATGGCCACAAACTGCTTGAGGCCATATGAACTGTCTCTCTGCCTTTTCTTTCTGGAAGATCAATCATGATCAAAATCCGCAAGAACATTGTACTCACTCAATTTTACATCAGCCGGAGCCAACTTAACAAATCAAGCCGGATTAGGAAATCTATGACTGTTCTTATCAACATCCAAAGAGTTGCGGCAACGTCAACAATTCTCTGGCAGAAGACAACTACCCCAAACAATAGCGTCACGTGTTTGCAATGGAGACGAGGAGACTAGCCAATAGACACAGAAATCCAGCAGAAACAGCTAGTGAAGGGTAATACATCACCACACAAAAAACTGCAACCAAAATACAGCTTTTGATTCAGGTCTCATGACGACAATAATTTTAATGATCGTGTGATCCCAGATGCTCGTTTGTAGCACCGTCCAAGATCAGTGAGATCAAGTGTTGAATGACATGAGGAGGAGTAGGAGGAAGAATGATCCAGTGGGTGGTATTTTATCATCAACAACAATAGAACATTTTAATGAAACATCTTCCTTGAGATTTTAAACTCTAGCCGGCTTCAATGCAATCCTACAGAACTCCATTTGAGGTATTATTGGAGGTCAGTAAAGGGAGAAATAATGCTCCAAAGATACCAAATTCTGATTTGCATTAAATAAAAAACATCTCCTGGGTCTAAAAGTCAGGCTGAAAAGTTACTCCAAAACAAGACACTTTGTTCAAACTTCCCCTATCCAGTCACCGGTCTCTTTGGATTCTCAAACTTTAATTTGTACTTTGTTTTTTTGCCAAGGCTGTACTCCCCTTTCTCTTCCCATGACAACGTTCTTAGGACCACTGTGGGCTAAATACCCCAAAACCTACCATGGAGAGCACTGTATCTCCTTTAGCCCTTCTTTTGTGCCCCTGCAGGGCATTGACTTCACTTATAAAAACATGACTTCCCAGCTGTTTGTTTTCCTCGCTCTTCTCACGAGGAAGAGAAAGCTGAGCTCAGCCAGTCGGCAAAAAAAAGACACTTCAGGCGAGACCTCAACACAAGATATGTTTTGCTCCCTCCGGCTTGTATTTTGCCTTGACCTCTCATTCCAAGCACTTGCAAAACAAAACCAGAACTTTGCTGCTGTCTCTTTGCAAGATTCTAAGATGAAACATGTATTGATTTTCTGACATGACTCCTAGTTAAATGGCTGGACGTCATTATACATCTTTATTCGCTAGTGCTGATACCTGAGTTTCAGTCCTAATACCACAACTTTTTACCCTGCTTTGAGAAAACTAAACTTATTTCCTAAGCCAAAAGGTTAAAATATCTGACTTCATATTCTTTACCAACTTTGAGTAGACAAGTTTTTGATACTCTATATGCATTTCAATCAGTACCAAAGGCACAATCCTTTCTGCAAATAATACAAAGAGGTAAGAGCATACTCACAGATATAGTAGTACTCTCTGCCGGGGCGAAATTCAAAGCCCAAAGAGAAGGGGGTGAAGAGCTGGAACTTCTCTGAGAACTTCAGCGGCCCGTTGGGCGACAGAGGCCGGTTGCACTCCCAGCGTTTGAAGCCCTTGGCGGTGTGGTCGCAGGAGCTGTAGCCGTCATAGTTCACCATGTAGAGGACGTAGCGCTCGGCTCGATCGTCAGACACTGGGACGATGTAGTGCGGACAGTAGACGTCCAGGTAGTCGTTGATGCAGACGTCAATGTGGTAATCACCCCGGTAAAACCTTTAGGAGAAAGACAGAAAGAAAGGAATTTGAATATGTTGTTGAGCAGAAAAACATCAAATCTGAGTGAAAAAAGCCCCACAAGTCTTCTTCAGTTAAGAACAAGTCAGTTGGAAGTCTTTCAGGTCTGTAAGCCCTGATAATATTACACATTAAATTATTTTCTTACAAAGCTGTACATTTACAGGTAACACCTTTTTTTGGTTTTTAAGATAAGTATGAAAAGTCTGATGTAAATGAAGTCTAAAGTCCTTATTTGAGGTATTCTATGAAGTTTTTGACCACTAGTACCGCATCGGAGGGTGACGCAACATCCTTTCTTCCGGCTGTGTATTTTCAAATTCGAGCGCACTTCTCCAAAATTACCTACCCCACCTTTAAGGAAAAACATAATAAGAAACATACGGGCCCTTGTGCTTACAGGACTCATTTTTATTGTGGTTATAATACACAGAGTGGGCAGTTTTCTGAATGTCAGCAATAATACTAACATGATAAATCTATACTGGGAGGGTGATTGTTCTACATGTTTATCTATGCAAGACAATCCCCACAATACCATCATACAACACCTGCTCTTGACCCTTTTTAATGATTTATTTACCCAATGGAAATATGCTGAGCATACATGCTTTCTGCTGCAGCCTGCATTGTGTTTTCTAACATCCAGATCCCTTGATACAACGCTTTGCTTAAGGGTACATTGACAGCAGCTGCTTAAGTGGGAGGCTAGTTACTCATTGATTTGTATGGGGAGTTTCTCGCCATTACGCACCACAACGACGCGTTCTCCAAAGACTTGTGAGTGCTCAACGAGATGATACTCAGGGTATCTTAGCGAGGCCACAGCTGAGACAAAATGTCCCATATGTGAAACAGTGTGAAAGACGCGTCCGGGCTACGGCTCTGGTTCTTGTTTTCAGGATCTCATCATGTCACTCATAATCATCCCGAGGCTCCTGTGAGATTCAACAGTCTCCCCTTGCAACACAGAAACCTCTAGCGTGTGGCGTAAGCCATATATCAATGTTAGAGTTCAGCAATGACGATGACTTATGCTGGTGCTGAAATTAAAGTCCCCTAGCGTTACAGGGCTAATCCCCTGGTTAGCATGTGCCTTTAGCAGCTTGAAGAGGATCCCTCTGTAGAATGAGATTTTCATTAGCCCGATATGACAGCTTGATGGAGGAGCCCCTCGTGGAATCTCCGAGTCTGGGAAAATGAGGGCCGGTTTCTCAAAGCCAGAGAGATATTTTGCGCCTGGTGTTTACTGTAAAACGATCGGACAGGAGGAGGGAGAGAGAAATCCCAGGTATTCCTGAAGAGAGTGATTGGAAACACATATTCCCATAGGCGCTGTATAAGGTTGCATTTGTGAGGCTTTTAGCAGAGACAGATTAGGCCTGGACGGCAGGCCGGGTTGTGTCTCTGTAGCTGCTAATGGCCCACGGTTCGGTATCACTGACATACTGCGGATGTCTTCAATACTCCACCTCTGTTCATTGACATAGTGAGGGCCGTCAAGGGAGCCAGGACGGAGATCGTGGTGGAGCATGCAGACGGATGATGATCCGATACGGGGTGAACTCGCCGAAGCACCGCAGGGTTTTTTTCACCCTGACGTTCCACGGGGCCTTGATTGCCACGGATCAGATGCTACACCTCAAGTACCCGTCAGCTGATCTGAGGCCAGGTGAAATGAGGAGGGAGGGATTGAGACACAGCTGTTGCCTCTGACACATACGCACTGTGGTTCTCGGGAGGCAGCATAAAGGGAGGTGTGTGCGGGGCCGGCTGGGGGTATCATGTTGTCGTTACACATATTGTAAATGTGCTGCAGGATTAGTAGCCGTCCTACTGGGTTTGCATGAGCGGATGTGTGTAGCGGGGTGTCTTATGCCATATTCTAATCTTTTTCTCTCTCTAATTATAGTCTGGTCAGATGTGAAACCAAAGCCCTTGTTTTCTCTTCTTTCCCCCCCCCTTCAGCACCAGCTGAGCGCTCCGGCTCCAGGCAGGCACAGCATGGCCTCCCTTAGCCTTAGTTTCAGAGCTGCTTGCTGTTATTATGACTACAAGGGGTCAACCGGCTCCATGGTATCATGTCCTCAGCCAGGAGCGCTATTGGGTAGCCTGCTTTGTCCTCCCGTGTCTTTTCTAAGCCTCAAATGTTGGCTTCCACCTCACGACTGTCAGCGGCTGTCAATCAAACCTGACCCAGGAGTACCGGACGAGATTAGTTGGGATTAAGAAGAGTTTGTAACTAAAGCCTTTGTTAGGGAAATAAATTTAGGAAAGTGATGATAACCATGATCAGATACTTGTATTCAGATACATCCTGATTGTGTCTGACAGCATTTAATCCAGGCATCAACACGCATCTCAAATCAGTCTCCAGTGACCAACGCTCATCGGATTTCACTTCTGCACTCAATAGAAATATAAACACGGTTCGGAGCAGAACAGATCAGCAAACACTTAGGCTTCAAGCAGTTAGGCTTTTACAGTCTACACCTTTTGTAAGGTTCATAATGAATTGTTTTTGACGCAAACAGAATTCACTTTCCCTCCATATTAGTGGGGAGGTGACAAAAACTCAACATTGGATACATGGATCTATGTTGCTACCATTTCCAGGTACAGTAAGTGAGGCAATAAGAATAATATAACAAGAACAAATATTAACAATTAAGATAAGATGAGGCAGGGTTTGAGTTTCTATTTTATTTCGGGAAAAAAGGACTGTGGTGAAAAACAGGAGCTATGAAGATTTGTACGTCATGTTCTAGAATAGATCATGAAATATATCAGTTATTACTGCACTTGGACATTTTGAAGCTTTTACGTGTAACCCTAACGTGAATAAATACGACAAAAATGGTTGACAATTGTTTAGTTTGTATATAGTCGCTCCAATATCTTTTTACTTCCATGTCCATTTGTTACGACTATCTTGCTTAACATAATATATGAAGATCATACTTCTTTTTTGCCACAGGGCTTATTTGTGGAGGGAAACAGCGTGGGACAAGAAGGAGTGAATGAGGCGTAACATGACTAAAGAAAAAAAAACAATACAAATATTTCTCAGGTGGCTGGGGGTTAAATCTACGGCTGCAACCAATGCATCCCTGAGTATCTGCAAATGTAGTTTGGGCTATCATTTTCACATTCTTTCCTTGGACGCATATTTATTATCCCTCTCGATGTATGATGGCTCCACCAGAGATGGATTTGGATGGCAGTTCTGAAGAGGGTCAAATGTGGCCAAACATATGCGGCAAAGAGACATCCTAAATCTTAAATATGGACTGTAGGTGTTTGTTACAAAAGATGATAAAACGCGTAGTGAGAGCGGAGATGATCCAGATGTTTGCCACATGGAGGCCATAAGGGCTGGAAGGAGTATATTATTGATAAGACCAAGGGCCATAAACACACAGCCTGAGTCAAGATGTTCTGGAATAAGATGACATTTCAGCTCTGGATGTTTAATGGTTTTGCCTTTTGAGGGCCAGAGACTTTCTCCTACTGATCTCTAGAATATAAGACTTGACTAGACCTGACTGAAGTGAGAAACCTTTATTTATCTACCAAGCTATACACCGTTAGTACTCCTCATTGTCATCAGGGTTTCTTTATTCATTCCTAGCGAGATTTATTCATCAGTTTTTCTAAATGGCCTTGTTGTTACAGGCTCCTTAGCAAGTCATTAAGCCTTCACGGGCAATTTCAACATTTGTATTCTTCATAGCAGCAGGACGCGCTGAAGGCTGATTGACAGTTCGGGGGTTTTGAAAACAGGAAGACCAAAAAAACAAAACAAGACCAGAAGATCCAGCAGTTAAAATGTGTCATAATGAGCCGTTACCAAAATAAAAGCACCTTAATCCCGAATCCATTTGTCGTGGGGATTAATTATTCCTGATTGGCTCAATGACTCACGGCCAGTTGGAGGGGCTTATCAATGAATCAGTAACTGGATCTCTTAACAAAGCACACATTTAGGGATAATCCCTCTTTTCACTGAGCTACCCTCCTCTTGTTTACTTTCTTTATCCCCTTCTGTTGTGTTTGTGTCGCTCTGTGGCCCGGCACAGGTACGGGACAGGGGGAGCTAGTATAGGGGGAAACACACAAAGTGGGAAAAGACAGATAATAGGAAGGAGAGAAGAGAAGGGAGGGCTGGTGTTGGTTGAATTATAGGGGAGAGAATCAAGAAGAGAAGAATGAAGAAGACAAAAGAGTGTAAGAAAGTAAAGGCAGTAGAGGAAAGTAGGTGAAAGAAAGGAAGTGAAAGAAAGGACGTATGGCTGAATCTCCTACTAACATGCTTATCTACTCTTTAACTAAATAAACTGTCCTTTGTCTTAATTTGCTGTATATTGGTAGACGAGCTATTTCCAAGAAAATAAGTCTAAAGGGTTAAATGTTCTTTTTGCATTGTCCGGAACATATTTGAATTCTTTATGTATGAACTATTGAATTTGTTTTCATGAAAGAGAAAAACTAATATACTGCACATATGTCTGCCGGACTTTGATCAGGAACATGATGATATGCATCATATTTAGCTTCAAGAAACGTTTCTTTCAATCTGTTTTGCTTATTAAAATGGTCCTAAAAAGAGATAGTTGCAAATATTTACTAGGTTTAAAACTGTTAACCAAATCTCTAGATAAAGGATTAGAGCTCAGTTTGCTTTGTGGTAGCCACAGCCCTGAATAATAGGGAGATGCAAAGGGGGGGAAGGTATAGCTGAAGAAAAGTTAGCTAAGTTAGCTATAAACCTGTGGTCCTTTCAAAGAAAATGAAACAAATAGAAAAGAGAGAACCAAATGAATAGAATAGACTAAGTGGGGGACAAAAGTAAAAATCAGTAGAGAGTAGAAACGGGGTAAAAGCAAGAACACTGAGGAGCAAGAAAATATAAGTGATGTGAAAGTAAAACTGGTGTATGGGATAGAAAAGAGAGAACCATGGGAAAGAAGGGGGGTGTC